AAGTGCTCTGTTTATAAGAGCAAAGAATATCTCATTTAATGTAAAGGTGGTCAGTAGGCAACAGTAGCTGCTAAGATCTCTTCAAATGTGATAAAACTGTATTCTGGCTTCTCCACATTAATTAATAAAAATAAGAATTCAATAAAATATAATTATTGTATGCTATAACTATCAAGTTAGTGCTATAGCATATTTTGGATCTAAAATTTTTTTATTGCAATTACCACCTTAATTTCATGATTTCATAATTTAAACATATTTCTTTTCATGAAATATGAAAAAGTCTTGAAGATTGGCTTGATGCTGTGTAAAACTATTTTGGTAGAAACATCTTGTAAATGTGTTTCTTCCATTCTTTGAAATATGCAAAAATTATTTTTGTCATTTAATTAGTTTCATTTGATAGAGGAAACTTGTTTAACTTTTCCTCTGTACAGTGTGTTGTATTTTCATCATGTAATCATTTTCAGTTTAATTTTTTTCAATATTATCACATTCTACCTGAAACAACTTCTATTTGATAAAAATATTGTTTCAAATCATCTTGTGGCTCTCTGGGAATCATAGGACCATATTTGAACAAAAAGTAATCATTATTAGATTATGCAATTACTTTGTAACTACATTTACAATGCAACTGCTCTTTCAATTAGAATTATCAATTAGAAATCTACTAGCAATTGCAATGGAATAATATATTTAGAATTATAATTTAATTGTGATAGTAATTTTAATTGCAGTGGTTAAGTACAGTTAGGAAAGTAATTGTCCTAGATAATCACAGTTACATAGCCTAAGGAAATTGTGATCATAATTGAAAATTGTAGTGAATGACAGTATATCCAAAATAGTTCACCATTTGTATAACTAACTGTTAAATAATTCACAGGGATAATTGCATATAAGAAATTATTAGTATTTTCCATGTGGCATCATTCAGCTTAGTTTCTGCATGTACTGCAGTTTGTAATAGATAAAGTGGATTATATTTACAGGAGCTAATCTTGACTGTTTCATATAGAAGCAAATATGCATAACTCTTTTAAATGAATATGTGTGTATATGATGCTCAACGACAGATGTGGATTTGAATTATTCATTTAAATGAAAGCAAACAACGATTGCATTCCAATAGAAAGGGATGCCTTTGTGGAGAATTAATCTCTGTGCAATGCTGATGGTGTAGTTATTTCAAAACTTTGAGAACTGAAATTTTCCTAACCTATACCAAAGTAAGCTTCCATATTGGATAAATGTGCACTTCGCTGGTGTCTCTGTTGCTGCTTAGATGCTATTTTTCTATGCTTTCTTTCCATTGTAATAGTATCAAAAATGTAAATGTTTTAGAAATAGGCACAATTAGAGTGCCAAGTGATTGTGGCCACAAATTTCAATTTAAATCAAAATTAAAATTTAATCTGCTTTGATTGCCAACTTTCTTATTCATCGGGAATCAGCATTTCAGTATTCTGCACAATCAAGAATTCTTCCTTCTTCAATATGGATCTACGTTCTATGCCTAACAACACTGCTACGTGTTCTTCATCAGTACCTCTAAATTTTGCTTTCATCACACACACACACACACATATTTATATATGTATATATATGTGTGTGTGTTACACAGAAAATTTATCAGAAAAAGCTTCATTTAGACTTTCCGTTTCACAAAGGTATCTGTAACAGGGCTAGACTAATTTTCATAATCTTACACAACTGAATCATTGTTCACTTTGATTGATAGAAAATTATCCATAATCATCCTGCTTAATTGCTATGTATATTAAAATTTTCAATAACAGTACTGATTATTGTGAATTAGTTTGTTATTAAATACAACCCGTATTTTCAAAAAAGAATTTAAAGTATTTTTTCTTTAAAATTTCTAGCAGTAGCACTTGATATACGTCATTCACAAGATTGAAAACAGCGCAAACACACAAAGAGAAACAATTAACTAAAAACATAAAAAAGAAAGAAGAAGCATCAAACTGTGAACAGTGAACAAACAAAAATATCGATAACAAAAGTCAGTTAGTCTGTAAGGCTTGTAACTGTTCTTTAGCCTTCCAATATGTATCGAAAATCTTTCCCGAGACAGCTGAACAGATACTCCAAGACATACTCTGAGATACTCAGTGCCCATCACATGGTCACTGCTGCATAAGATAAAGTTTGGAGTGGACAGTATTCCAAAGGCAGCAAGAATAACAGCTGAGATGAGAGGTAATATAGAAGATGTATCAAATTGGAGAATCTTAGCTAGAGATTTTAAATTGAAAGTAACAAAATCTAAACAACAACCATTTTCTAATTTAAAAATATTATTTACTTACAAGTGAATACACCTGTATGATCTTAATGATATTGTCTGATCTTCATATGTGGGAGAAAACCATGGAAAGGCTTATCCAGCCAGCCCATTCACTGAGATTTAAATCAGGGCCGAACTACACAAATTATCAGTCTTACAACTCTGCTGCTGGTAGACTTTGAAATGCAGAAAAATGAGCTTATATTCCGAGATTATCCTACATAATTAATAAGCAAATTCCAGCTTGTAGTAATGATATTAACTATGAAATAGGCTTTTATTAAATAACCAATATTTTAACTAAATAGTTAAAATACATTGTTTTACAAGTGGATCACCTCCCCATACTATTTTTTATAGTGTCAGATACAAATAAACAAGCATATTATTATTAAGAAATATCATTTTCTATCCAAGACCATCCTATTTAATTAATGTGCGAACTTCAACTTGTAGTAATGTTATTAACTGTGAGTATTGTTTGTTTAATTGAATGTGACAAAGCATCTAAGGGTAAGGATGTCATCATGGAGAACATTCTCACGGAAGTTATTTTGTGTAATAGAAGGGAAAAAAAAAAAAAAAAACAGGAAGATATCCAAACATCTAGATTGTTTGCTGGAATTTAAACTCAAATTGATCAACCACTGTTCAAAAATGAGTCTCAATTACTCTTACTGCTAACCCACAAGTTAAATTGATTTTCCAGTTATACTGTAACTCTAAAAGTCATTATGTTATAACTGCAATTATAGCTGCATTAAATATAGTTTTAAATACCAAGTAACTGCAGTGAATTACGAACTTTGTTCAGGTAGTAAAAGATAGCTTAAATTTTAGAAATAATGTACACATGTAAATGACATGAAAATTTAATTAAGATATTATATTTCTTCCACTGATGTAATTCCTCAAAGCTACTTCTAGATTATTTCCTTTCATCTCATACATCAATTTCTGAGGCATGATCATGTCTGCAAATTTTGTTTTTGGTGGATATATTTTATATATGAAACTACTGTGCCTATAAACTGTGAATACTGTTATTACACTTTGAGGGAAGCACACTATTTTTACATTAACCAGAATTACAGTGTAATTACAATTTAATAATTCTAGTTAATGTATGTACACTATAACTGCAGCTATAATTTTATTGATGTAGTAATTGTATTGTAATAATGGATTGTGCTATTACAATTACATTGTAATTGAATTAACTGCAATTACCCTTAATGTAAGTGTACAATTTATAATATAATTGCACTGTAACTGAGTTAATTGTAATTGCAATTACATTGTAATTGAATTAATTGCAATGACAACTGCATTGTGATTGTACTATTTATAATACAGTTATGCTGTAATTGAACTAACTATACTTACAATTATATTTTAATTGCCCAGTTTATAATTATAATTACATTGTAATAGAAGGATTCCAAATTACAATTGGAAAATAATCATTAATTATAGCCACTATTACATACTAAATATGAGTATGAGTAACTGCAGTGTAATTAATTACATTGCAATTGAATTACTTACATTTCCAATTACATTATAATTCAGTTATTAATCAGTGACATGTAACTGATTTTTTGCTTATCTCTGCATAGGAAATTTCTTTTAGAAAAAGGCCTTTGATGTGAATTATGAATTTTTTATGATTTTTAATATGTCTTGTTATACTTTTTTTCGCTTTTAAACCATACTTGCATTGTTCTAATCAACTATGATCTCTAGTTAACTAAGAATAATGTGTTTCTACCTTGTACTGTTTCTTTGAATTCAGTGTATTATTCCCTTTTGTTTCTCAAAATAAAAAATTAGCTACCTGTGCCATTATTTTCCTTCATCATTTAGTCTGAAATATCTTAAATATTTTTTGTGAAAGTAATAACAAGCTAATTTCCCTCTGTAGTTGTTGTAGTCAGTCAATTTTCTTTTAAAAAAGAATACATAAATATATTTTTGTGGAAATAAATTTTTAAAATGGCTGTAGTTTCTTTTTTACATATATAAATATGAATTTCAGTTATAAATAAGTGTTATTAAAAAGACTGTTTACAGTTTTCTCATAAATGACAGGCCTGTTGAGAGAGCTATTTGAAATGGAAATATTTTGTACAAGATACAATCGAGAAAAGAATTTAAAGAAAACTTTGCATTTACTTTCAGTTTATGAACTGCAGTTATTCTTAATTGTTTGAGAATATGTATGTCTGAGAATAATAATGAATGTTTATGTTAGTTATAAAAATTTAAACAAAACAGGAGAATGAATATAATGGGGCTGTGAATATCCTTGGTTTGAATTAGCATTCAGATTGTATGCATAAAATATTAAATGTTGGATCCTTAGCAATATATGAAAATAATCTTGAGAGTTATTGTTATACTTTAAAATAATTTATAAATTGATTGTAACATAATTAAAAAACTAGCTTGTGATTTAGTAATTGTTGTTAGCAGAAATTATCTATATGAAGAATATAAACGTTTTATCATTTCTCTAAAAAGTTACTAAAGTTTGATGATTATATTTAAATGATATTTTTTAATAATGTACTCGGGCTTGTTTGTTATATGTGAGAGTTTATTTTTGTACATTTTATTATACCACTTAATTTCACTTAATATGTGCAATGTATCTAATGTTTGGATTTGTTCTATTTATTTACAGTATATGGAACGCTTCACTGCTACAAAAAAGAAGTTATATTAGAACAAAATATTTCATACCTTGCAGCCTCATTTTGGTGTGTACTGCATAGCTTTTATAAGCACTATAAACATACTGTAATATTTTTGAATTTTATGTATATAGTATATTTAATATATTTCAGACGTAAATTCCAGTCAGCTTTTAAACTTATGTTGTATTTTATATCTGAAAATGTTCTTGAATTTATGTCAGAATTTAATCATGCATTTGCTGTTCTTATATAAATATTTAAAATAAAAGACATTTTTGAACAAACTCAGATTTTTATTGCTTACTGCATGTGAAATTAATATTAAAACTTATTGAATGATGCTTTCCACTTTTAGTGTACTATAATGCTTTAAGCTAAATTAGACTTCTGATGTTCTCGAAGAACTACATAATCAGTCTTTACATGCATATTAATATACATAAAATTTATAATTGTTGGTATTAAGTGATAAAAAAATTTCAGTCTTGTAGCTTGTTAATAATATATATGTATTCTTTTATAAAATATGAATTAAGTATTATGCATGAAGAGTATTGCTATAATTATTTTTAAGGAAATTATTAATGGATGAGTTATTTTTTAAGGAAATCTTTATGATTTATTTATGACAACTAGCTTTATGATAAAGCTAATTATATCAAGAAATCATAGCTTTCAAGTGTGTATACAGTAGTACTGATGGATAAATTGCAGAAAAGTATTTTAATTTCCAGAAGCATAAAGTTTTAGATTTAATTTTGTATTACTTTTATTTGTTTTATAAAAAGATAATCATTATATATATATATATATATATCTGAAATAGTTATTAAACATTATGATTAAATAATTATTAATTTATGTATAAAAATTAGAGTGAACTACAAAATATAACTATTTAAAATGCTAACATAGACAAAATAAAGATTTATTTCTAATGGTTTCAATTTATTTTTGAAAGAAAGACATCATATCTAATGTTAGGCTCTAAGAGGCCTTTATATATATATATACACACACATTTCAGTTTTGTGTTTCTGTAAATCGATTTTAACTTTAATGATTCTTTTTATTTATTCATTCATTCTCTCTAATTTCAATATAAATTTGCATATATTCTTGTTTAGAAATAATCTTTTCTTTTCATATATTTCAATTTATCCCAAAAACACATTTCCATTTCTTGTTTTTGTAAATTTCTTTCTTTAATAATGTGTAAGTTAGCATTATATAGTACTTATGAATAATTGATGCTTATCAAGTGGGATGAAAAACTTGCTGTTCAAAGATTTTAAAAAGATTATTTTTGTACAAGATACAGTCAAAAGTCGTTAATTCCCATAATCCGGAATGATCTATAATCCAGACCTCAAAGCTACAAATTTTGCACATAGGCGTTTACGTGCGCGCGTAAGACCTTTATGGCTGCGAATATGCGTGTGTCCATGCCCAAAATACGTTTACGCATGCGCATTTAATGTATAATGGACGGTATAAGCTAATCTAAAATTATCTAATTCAGTTAATGTTGCAGATTGTGTTGTTCCTTAATCTTCGAATTGGATCTGGCTTATTATTTTTTTGCAGACTCTTAGAGCAATTTTATAAAAGTAAGCTTGAACTTTTGATTATGTCAAATAGAATTTCCGATATATAATTTACTAATACGAGGGTTGGAACTTTAATAGTGGCAACACACCTGAAAAAACGCTACGCAACAAAACCAAAGAATATCGCGTATACCACACGTAAACTACATACCTACCTTACCTCTCAGCAAAAAGACTCGTCCTGCCTAGGTCACATGCATGCGGAGTAACGCGAAGAACGGATCCTTTTATTAGCTTGTGGTCTAAAAGTAAGTGTTGTCAGGATGTTTTCAAAACAAGAACAACGATGTTGGATAAAAATTGAATGTGCCAGAGGTCGTACAGCATGACAGTGTCATTAAGGGCTTCAAGAGGCTTGCAGGGAATCTGCATTGCCTTACAGAACCGTAGCAAGATGAGTGAAAGCATTCAATGAAGGACGCCAAAACGTGGCAGACATGCTGCGGCCAGGTCGTCCGAGTGTCAGCGATGCAGATGTGCAAGCTGTTGCTGCACTAATGGACAGTGATTGCCGCCAAACGATTAGTCAGCTGGCCGGACAAACAGGATTAGCACATATGACTGTGCTGCACATTCTGAAGGAACGCCTGTCCATGAGAAAAATTGCTTCACGATGGGTTCCACATCAATTGACGGAAATGCAGAAATGGCTACGATATGATGCTGCCCAAACCCACCTGGAGCGCTATGAGCGCGAAGGAGATGCTTTTTTACGCTGGATGAGACTTGGGCCCGATCATACCAGCCAGAACTGAAACACCAATCAAACGAATGGCGTCATCATGGGTCACCACGACGTTTGAAATTTCGTCAGAACCCCAGCAATGTGAAAGTTATGGTGATTCTCGTGTACGACTGTGATGGTGTCATCCTAACGTATACCATTCCCCCACAGCAGACCGTCACTGCGCAGTATTACTGCTCAGTTTGAAGCACAATCTCCGACCAGCTTTGAGAAAAAAACGGTGACACTTTCTGCAGAACGCTCCTCTCATTTTGCATGACAATGCTCGGCCGCATGCAGCGCAAGCTGTGACTGATTTGTTCAATCGATGGGGCTGGGAAGTGCTTTACCATCCACCATACTCCCCAGATCTAAGCCCTTGTGACTATGACTTAATTCCTAAGATGAAGGAACCACTTCGTGGCACTCGCTTCCAAACTGTTCCTGAGATTCTTGTGGCATTAGACCGGTCCATTCAAACTATCAACGAAACAGGCGCTGCTACTGGTATTCTGCAACTTCCACATTGTTGGAAATGGGTTGTACACAATGCTGGCAACTAAAGGACTGTAAAACATGGTGACATGAATCACACTTTTGTATTGCTTGTAAATAAATAGTTGCCACTTTTAAAGTTCCAACCCTCATATGTAAAGGATCTACAAAGCAAAAGTATGTTTCGAAGTCCATTAAACAAAAAGTGGAATGGCTGCAAAAAATAGATAAAGGCATATCCTTTGTTTATCTAACCATTCCGAAATCTGTTTATCAATTTCACGCTGCTCTGCGGCGGCGGGGACACCGCGGCGCGCAATGAATTGGAAGTTGATGTGGCAGCACTGTCCTTATCTTCAGGGCAGATGTTTTTATTTTATTTGGCTTATAATTCCTTACTAAATGTAGTATTTCATCTCGATGTACTACATCTTTGATATGATTTAAATCAAATTCCTCGTCATTATAATTCGCTTCCGATAGCGAAGAAAGTAAACAAATAAATATTAAGCTTTTTTTTTTGTAAATTTTGATACCCTTTAGATCATAATTGTTCTTTATTTCATAAATTACGGTTTCATATTTTTAATTTTATAATTTCTGCATGCCATCTTACCAGATTTAAACTGATGATCTATAAATCGATAATCCGGAATCGCCGAAGTCCCGACAAGTCCGGATTAACGACTTTTGACTGTATTAAGATATACAAGATACTAATACCTGATGGGAATATCTTCATTAATTTATTATGTAAAGAACAGGAAACAAATTAGGATCAAATGCATAGCATCTGTAAGAAAAATTTGTTGTAAATCCTTTAAGATTATAAATACTCATTATGGGAGTGCTTGAGTTACTTAACCAATACCCATGCTGTAATTCAGTTCATTAACATATATATGATTATCAAAATCGCAAGAACAACCTTGTATTTAGTGCACATATATTAAAACACTCGATCGATTTCGAGAACAGGTAAAGGTCCCTCCTTATCAGGAGAACGAAATTACTAGAAATGGGAAAAAAGAAGAAAAATAAAGCATCAGCAAAGGAGTCTCAGAAACATGTGGTTGTTATCAGCACTGCATTTGGTCGTAACCAGATTTTGAATCAGAGTTACACTGGCTGCCTACTTCTACTGAGTCAGGCTATCTGATTAAACATATAACACATAGACTAAAATGCAAAATAAATAAATAAATAAATAGTTGCCACTTTTAAAGTAGCGAAGTCCAAAAATAGGGAGCGGGGGTCAACTGCACCTTCACACACTAAGTCTGAACCTTAAATGACAGGTTCAATGTTCAGACTTGGTGCGTGAAGGTGCAGTTTCCCCTCGCTCCCTATTTTTCGACATCGCTGATTTTTTTTTTTTTTTTATTATTGTATGTGTTATATGTTTGAACAAATAGCATGGCTCAGTAAAAGTAGCGGCCAGTGTAACTCTGATTCAAAATCTGGTTACGATCATTTGCAGTGCTGATAACGACCACGTGTTTCTGAGACTCCTTTGTTGGTACTACTTTATTTTACTTCTTTTCTCCCATTTCTAGTAATTTCATTCTCCTGATGGGGAGGGACCTTTAGCTGCCCTCGAAATTGATTGAGTGTTTTAATTTATGTACACTAAATACAAGGTTGTTATCGCAATTTTGATTGTCACATTGGCGTGTTTCTATTCTATTCTATATGTATGATTGTTATCACTTCTCGCAATGCACAGTTTGGAAACCATTAATTGCATTACACAGAGGGCATTTACAAATTTATAGAATGATTTTGGGGTCATTTAATTTGTGGTTAAACTGTAAAGTATATATATTTTTAAACCTTTGATCTAATAGTTCTTTTTTTAAAACCATGATCATCAGATGTACTTTTCCGATTTTGATAATAGCACAAAAGAAGCACGTTTCATATTACCTAATGATGTATGATATTATTGAGGAATAAGAGTAAAATATGTATGTAGTAATCATACAAGGTATTAAAAATCTAAAACATGAATAATGAGAGTTATATTAAATATTTAAAATGTTAAATAACTCTTAAATCTTATGTGATAATTTACTATGTACTTGTAATTAGGATACAAATGCATTTTATAAATTGTGTTGGCATCACTACTGTAAGCAATTACTTAGAGTTTCTTTAATTTATGCATTTGATGTAGTACTAGATTTAAGTTTATATAAGATCTATCTTTTGACCGAAAAGAACCTCTTTAACTGTATTTTTTATATTTACCATATTTCATGCATTTTGTAGTATTAGTATATTACATTCATATATTATTATATTTATTATTGAATTTGATCTATGCATATATCTTACTTATACTAAATTTTAATTTTTACTATATATTTAAAAAATTATTAAAAGTACTGGTGATATCTGTTTTCTCACTGAAATATTTCTGATGACAAAGATTTTCATACCAAAAAAAATTTCAACAAAT